AAAAAACAAAACATGATTGGCAGGTAGGTTCATAGTCATCATTTCACAAAGTATAACTTATGACTCCAAAAATGTGCTCCTTTAGAAAAAGCTTGACCAGACACACTGAATTTTAATAGTGAAAAGATTATTTATAATTTATTTTTTTCATATTCTGTGAAATTTCCACTCATTGTCTCTATTTTCTTCCTTCCCCAACATGAAGGTCTCTGTTCTCTGAGAAACCAACGTCTGATGCGCTAAGAAGAACAAACCTGTTTTCTGCTTTGTGCAAAATGTGCTTTTTAAAGGAGAAAGGAGAACATTTATTTCTTAACTTCATATGAAAAATCCAAATGTGAAGATACACGACTGTCATTGAAGTCTGAACGGCGTATTAATTAGTCTAAAATAAGTTCAATGAAGGCCAGTGCCCCTGTGACCTCAGTCGGCGTCGCAGTCTCTCGCACAGACATGGAAATAAATGAATAATGAAACAAAATATTTGAAAACTTCGAGACGACTTTGAAACTCTGAAAACTAAGTTGTGGTATGTGCGTGAGAGGCCTTTGACTTGCCATTTAAAAGATGTCCCCGAAATTTTTGTGCCCTTTGTGCTTAAATGGGTAGTTCTAGGCCAAAAGCTGCCTCCAAGAGAATCAAGGAGACTTTATTTAAGCTTTGCTTTGGAGGGATTTTTTAATAAAAGTTGTGCCATAAAGAATCAAGGTTAGGTCTCTACCTCAAAATAAGTGCCCTCGTGTTTTCTATTATGTTTACTCAGTCACTGGAATCAGACTCACAAAAATCAGGGGGTGGGTTGTTGCTGTTGCCTCCAAAATACTAAAATAAATTGTCTGCTCTGTCGTTATGTAAGAAGGCAGACGTGCACTCACAGAAGCAAATCTTTGCATGTGATACACACTTGCCCTTGGTAGGGACGCATTTTTATCGATCTCTCCGCCGTACAGTAAAGCAAGACGCGGCACTGACGATTACAGAAGATGAGAAATCCATCTCTGAAGAAACTCAGAAAGGGTCACAGTACGAGTTTATCCAAAGATGTTCATATGAATACAGGTTACAGCTGAACCGAGTAAACACCTGTTCAATAACACTTAGACGTGGAATGATTCAAAACTGAATCCCCTCTCAATAACTGCATTTATTTTAAGTTTACAAGGAGATCCTTTTCTTCTAAACAATCAAACACAAACACTTTATAGAGACTATAATGAAAACATTGCTAAATAAAATAGAAACTCAGCACCAGTGAATACACCTGTGGTCACCGAAACAAAACTGAGTGCACTTGTGATTTCCAATCTTCCAGTCTGCGTCATGGCTGGTAAAGAGATGTCAAAAGGAAACAAAAAAATCTGATTGTGAGACTTCACAAAGACGAAAAAGGATACAGGAAGGTCGGTGCTCAACTAAAAAAATCAGTGGAAACACAGCTGGGGCATAGAAAGAGGCATAGTACCACTAATCAGAGCTGCAGTGGTCGTCCTTCCAAAATAATACCACAGGCAGTGCACCACTTGCACATGAAAAACCAACTTGGCACAGGGGTTATCAGTGGAAAGCAGAGTTCCTGCCACAGCTCAGACGGTGTGAAGGACGGTGCATAACCTCAACCAACTATGAACACTGCAAGAAAAAGATGAAACACAAAATGAGAACACGAAAGGAAGCCTGATGAAAACTGGGGACATTCTTTGGTCAGATGAGACCAAAATAAATGCGTTGGGCACAGATGGAGTCCAGCATGCTTGGTGTGAACCTCCACAGTGAATACATAGTCCTGACAGTGAAGCATGGAGGTGGCAGCATCATGATATGGAGCTGCATGAGTGCAAAAGGTGTTGATGACATTTATAGATGAATGTCTGAGGATAGGGGCTGCAAGGTGGCGCAGTTGGTAGCACTGTTGCCTCGCAGCAAGAAGGTTGCCGGTTCGCGTCCCGGTGGGGGGCACCGGAATCTTTCTGCGTGGAGTTTACATGTTCTCCCCGTGCAGTGTGGGTTCTCTCCGGGTTCTCCGGCTTCCTCCCACACAGTCCAAAAACATGTTGAGGTTAATTGGTGATTCTAAATTGTCCGTAGGTGTGAATGTGAGTGTGCTTGGTTGTCTGTCTCTAAGTGTGGCCCTGCGATGGACTGGCGACCTGTCCAGGGTGTCCCCTGCCTTCGCCCTAAGTCAGCTGGGATAGACTCCAGCCCCCCCGCGACCCTAATGAGGATTAAGCGGTGTATAGATAATGGATGGATGTCTGAGGATAAACCAAAATACTGGCTGACAAGACGACTCCCAGTCTGCAGAAGCTGGAAGAAGAGGAATATTCCAGCATGAGAATCATCCAAGGCATAAAATCATAAAGCAAACACCTACTGTGCAACTTAAAAGTGATGCAAATTACGGGTGGGTGATCCAACTTTAAATCAATTGACATGCGCTCACTGGTTTACTCACTTCTGCCGTACGCTGTATGTGCGTCTGCTCACAAATGAATGCTGTGTGTCGTTGGGAAGGAGGGCTTAAGTCCATTAATAAGCCCATGAGGAGTATAAAAGACAGACCGATTCACGCTTCATTCCTTTTGTTTACTGTAACTGGGAGCTGTAAAGCCCCAGAAGAGCAGACCTCTCATGTAGGAGGGCATGCAGATAAAAACAGCACCATCACACACTCTCTCAGTCATAACAGATCAAAACACAAGGTTGCTTTGAATAACACGGCTCTGAGGCTGGATCATGTAATCACGCAGGCGGCTACAAAGGGGCCGCGGTTTTTGGGGGGGGAGGGCTGCCTTGTGGTGGGAAACCTGGCCTCCAGGACAAGGCAGAAACTTGTTTAAGTGTAGGAAAGAGCTGTACAATGGGAGGATGTGTAGGTTGCGGAGGAGCAACAGCTTGGCAAAGAGTAGGAGGCTGCTGAGAATAATGTGATTGCAGCAGCTGCAAGGATCAGGCACATTTATATTAGAAGTGCTTGGAAGTTCAATTGCCTCAGAAGCAGCGCAAAAGTTTGTTTTGCAAGGTGTCCTTTGGGGGGGTTAAAAGAAGTGATGAAGGATGTTTTTTTGCCAAGGCTGCATGAGAACAACATTGTTTTTTTTTTCTCTGGCTTTGATTTAGTCACTGGAGGCTGATATTTACAGACCCTACAGCTGCACTAAATCTAAAGACTGCTGATAAGTAGCCTATCAGAGTCTGGCGTTTTTGTTAAGATGTACTGCATCTTCACAGCAAGTGACAGGCGCCCTGCCTTAAATAAAGAATGACAACGAAATAAAAAGTTGCCTCAAAGATGTATTTCTTTGTGGGTGTGCGTTAAATCAAACTAGAGGAGAACAAAAAACTGGACTTTTCTTCCCACTTTGCCCCTCTGGTGTCCTTCTTCCTCCGTGTTTACCTCTTAAAAAAAAACCTTCCAGTCTGTGGCGTTCACTGCTGAGCACAAAAGGCGCCCCTAATCCCAGGGCTGAATATGCATGACGCCGCGCACTGCTGTGGGTTGCTCGCAGTTTAATAGTTTCAGCACCGCGTTAGGGAACAGCGCCATACGCCGCTGAGGCTCAGCTGCAGCTGGTACCGAGCTGCTCTTTGACGGCAAACCGGCGCAGTTTGACAGGCCGAGCCGGAGAAAGAGCCCTTTTATCTGTAATCAAATCATCAGCCCCGAGGTTGCGAGAGAGGTTTCCCTTTTCCTCCCCTGAAGATACCAAGATCTTGTAAAAGCTTTCACTTTGATGCCCTGCAAAAGGGGGAGAGGAGAGGGAGAGAGAGGGGGGTGAGGATGGAGCAGGAGAGGTAGAGACTGGCACAAACATGTTGTATCTGGATACATATTTACGCACAATTTTGCGCGTAAAGTTTATCCCCTGTTCTTGTCGGTGCGCACAAGAAAACAAAACAACAACAAAAAAAAGATGAGAGAAGGATGTGTGTGTGGATGGAGGAGTGTGTGCACTTTAATTCAGAGTTACTCAAGCACAGCGTGGACAAAAACCGATCCTTATATCCACAGACCCACGCACGGACACGGGCTGCATATTTACAGCAGACAAAAATCCGGTCCGGCGCAGCCCTCGAGAAGAAGACGCACACACACTCATACAGAGAAGGGATGGAGGGGGTGAGGAGGAGGAGGAGGAGGAGGAGGAGAGAGAGAGAGAGAGAGAGAGAGAGAGGAAGAGGGTGAGGGAGTGAGAGAGAGAGAGAGAGACAGAGGGAGAGCGTGTTTCTCAGAAAGAATCTGAACCACTTCAGCACCGCCTGTGCCGGAGCCAGATAATAACTAACAGGACCGCTCTGGATGGATTTAGCGTCCCTCCCACCTCGCTCCGCGGAATTTCATTCACAAGACAGGTGATTGTAAAGCCAATCAATAGAGAGGAGGGGAAGAGGAGAGGAGGAGGAAGAGGAGGAGAGGGGGGAGAGAGAGGGGAGAAGAAGAAGAAGAAGAAGGGTGAGATGTTTTCCCTTTCCTGTCCTCTTCGACACCTGCGAGAGCTTTTTCCCTTTTCTTCAACTCAAACTGGGGTGGCTTGGCTGAGGCTGCGCACACTTTCCAGACTGGACTGAGAAAAAGACGGAGAAAGGAGGGGTGAGAGAGGGAGTAAACAGGAGAGAGAAAGAGTGTGAAACAGAGACTGGATGGATCCCTGTCTTCCTCTGGCACTCCACAGGCGCTCATTCATTTATTTAAGCCTGGCCGACGACAGCATGCCAAACGCGGACTCCAGCGGCTCAGCTCGGTCAGTATAGCTCCCCCCGTCTCCCCATCTGTCTCCACTTCTCACATCACAGGTATCCCACAGAGCGATTGTCCTTTTTTTTTTTTTTTTTTTTTCCTTCTCCTCCTCTCATGCAGACTTCCAAACAGAGGACAGGAGTGAGGCATCCTCAGCCAGCGTTTCCTTACCTGCGCAGCATCCGGATTTCGACTCGGGCGCCCCACCGTCGACACCGAGGACCGGCGTTTTGAAGCAAAAAAAAAAAAAAAAAAAGCCCGCTTCATGGGCCCCAAACCTCGTGAGGCCCCCGGGATGGCGTGCAGCGCGTGTTACTACCTGGTTATCAGCTCCACGCACCTAAACAATGGACACTTTCGGCGCGTCAAGGGGGTCTTCAGGGGACCTCTGTGTCCAACCGCAGCCAGCGACTCCCCGGTAAGAACGTGCACGCTGAAAGTGTGCATGCGTAATAGTGTGTGTGTTTGGAGCTTGTGAAAGAAAAGCCCACGTAGGGTCATTTTCTTTACTTTTTTTTTTGGAGGGCGTGATAAGGTCAAAGTTTTTTGTTTTTTTTAAAGTGCCTTTCATAAGAAGTTCCTCACAAAGATAGTGAGATGTGTGGAAACTTTGAGTACACTAAAAAGATAATAAATAAATAAATCAAAAACCCACCAGACCCTGTCACGCTGTCATACTGTACCGAGGAGGTGAATATTTTTGGAGAGGGTGGCAATTTTCTTTTTTCCTGAGCCATAAAAAAGAAAAGGTTTTTGATGGAAGACAGTCGATGTGAATATTTTAAACTGAGCAGAAATTGTGTATCCATGCATGAAACCATTGTCCCTAAATGCCTCCTTCTCCATCTCTGGGCTATGGGAATTAAATTGCATTAGTTCTTTGAGTAGGAGATGAGTTGCCTGGATGAAAATGGGCCTAATTACCTGCGGGAGTATTTGTTAGGTGTGTGTTGGAGTGAGAGAAAGCGTGAGAGAGAGACCTGTCCAGGCTTGTAGGGTAACTCCCTGACCTTTATCCTGGCGCACATGGTCCCTCTGAGCCACCAAAATGCCATTTAGTTGCAAACTGTCTCTCAGTTTGTGTGCACTTCCTCGCTGCGTGTCGGCAGGAAGAAAGAAGAGAGAAGCAAAAGGAAATGACAGCACATGTAAATATGTACATGATATTTTGGACTGCGGGGTGCTTTATGTGTGTGTGTGTGTGTGTGTGCGTGTGTGTGTGTGTGTGTTGGAGATCCAGGAGCAGCTCGGAGGGTCTCTGGTAATCACACATTATTCATGAGCTCTTAATGTGAGACGAGACAAACTGGCGGAGCTGATGACAAGTTTGATGAGAAAGGAGGAAAGGAGCAGCTGGTATGTGTGTATGAGTGTGTCGAGTGCGAGTGCGTGCATGTGTGTGTTCATGCTCAAGTCATTACCAGTCTGTCATGTTCGGCCCGCGTTCGCTATGTGATGGGAATGAGCGAGCAGTGCTGAGCAGCACAGACTGGCGGAGATGCTGCAAAGAGTCGCTGATATTCCTGCAAACTTGCACACAAACTCACTCCAATGCACACACACACACTCACACACACACACACACACACAGAAATTATCTCCAGACTGTTTAGATGTGGTATTCATGATGCATCTTTCAGTTTCTACAAATTAGTGTCTCCCCTTTTAAATGTGATCATTTCTATCACCTGTCTGAGCCCCTTCATCTTCCTGTAGAATCATCAAATGTTCTCGGTTTAATTGCTCCTTCAGCAAGTTTAGTCTCAGAAAAAAAAGCTCAATTTCTCAGAAAAAGTCTCATTTGGATTCATGTGAAGCTTGCTGACTAAATTAAACAGCTCATATCTTGCCGTTTGTGCTTTTCCTTCAGTGTGTTATTTATCTGTTTCTTTTTTCTGTGCATGTAAAAGAGCTGCAAAAACTTACAAAGTTCATGGTGACAGGAGGTATTGTCTCCCACAGAAAACACCTATGCTTTCAAGCCCAGGCTTTTTTTTTCCCCCATTACTTATGTACGTCAACGTGTAACACATTTGCATAACGATGGTCTTGCAGCTATTTTGGCCCTCAAACAAAGAGTTGCATTACATCATTGCTCGATTTACATCCCTATGCTTAGAGATTTCAAGTTGTAGTATGTCACCAACATTGCCTTGCTTTTGTCAGGCCAGCGGACCAATCACAGCAGGCTGGGCTTTTTAGGAGGCAGGCTTTAATGAGCTAAAATGTAGAGAGATGTGTGAGATGCAGGGTGAGACAAGCGATGTACAGTTTTGGAATCCTTCAGTTTGCATAATAGAAAATGTTGACACTCAAGATACGTGGCCATTGATATTTTTAGATGACACAAGATTTATTTTTATTTTTCCTTAGTATCATTAGTCATGTTTGGCTTCACTCACTCATCAGGGTCACATTTTTAGACCATGGCCACGACGGCAAAGTCCGAACACAGGAAGCACTTAACATCTGTTCACTTCTCTCCTGCTCTCTGTGCTCGCTTGTAGTGTATTTTAATCCAACCAAATTCCCAATAAACCTATTATCATTTACACATTTTTCTGGTTTTGTTCTCAGACGAGTTATGAAATAGTACCTAAAACATGACTCATCAAAACTACATGTGTAGTGAACTCTGTTGTATTTTCATAAAGTCTGAAGCCGCTACCAAAATCAGAGAACAATCACCCAAAACAGAGTTCATTTAGCTCCTCTGTGCTTTTTAAATTTGTCCAGGGGATTGATAGAAATGTGGATTTCTTTGGGAGTTGCACTGCTGACTGACCATCAACGAACCTGGTACAAAGGCACAAACCTGTAAATATGCATAATATCTTTCAGTATATCTACATTTTAGACAGATGAATGCGTGGGCTACTTTTTAGGCAGTCGCTTCTTGTCAAGTTTGGCCTGTTCTGAAAATGTATTTAAAGCTACTTGAAATGAAAATCAATTACAGTGTACTGCATTTTCAGTTGTTGTCAAACTTACACAACGAGAGATGAGTTTTCAGTTATATAACTTTAAAAAAAAAATCTGTCAAAAGTTGCCATCAGTTGTAAAGCTGAAACAGTCGGTCAGTTAGTGAATTTACTTTGATTGCCAGCAAATGAATCTGCAAAATCGTCTGTCTTGATTTTGACCGAGCTGATTTTTATTGCGCTGCATCACAGTAAACTCGTTATCTTTGACTTTTGGTGAGACCAAACTAACAATCAAAGATGTCACTGTGAGCTCTGGGAAATGGCTCTGGGTAACTTTTAATATTCAAAACAATTAACTGATTATTCAAAGAACTGATTAACAGATCGTGCTAATTGTAGTTTCAGCCCTAATGAACTGCTTTGCAAGTCTCCTTGTTCTTTTTCTTTAGCTGTCCTTTAATCAGGCTTCTGCTTATTTTACCCCCTAAACCCCAGAAGACACCAGGGTTTGAAAGGCAGGCTCTTTTTTTTTTTTATAAGAAATGCCAATATTACTCTATTCACCAGAAACTGCAAAAACAGGATTAAAAAAAAGAATCGTTAGACAGTCTTTGAACTAATCATGAAAGACATCAGGTTCAATCAGCCAAAAATGAGCTTAAAAATGTGATATGTCATCAAAATTACTTTATTTGATGGGTCTCATCCAAAAATCCATCCATCCATCATCTACACACCGATTAATCCTCACTAGGGTCATGGGGGGCTGGACTCTATCCCAGCTGACTCAGGGCGAAGGCAGGGGACACCCTGGACAGGTCACCAGTCTATCACAGGGCCACACTTAGAGACAGACAACCAAGCACACTCACATTCACACCTACAGACAATTTAGAATCACCAATTAACCTCAACATGTTTTTGGACTGTGTGAGAGGAAGCCGGAGAACCCAGAGAGAACCCACGCTGCACGGGGAGAACATGCAAACTCCACACAGAAAGATCCCGGTGTCCTCACCGGTATGCAAACCGGCAACAGTGCTACCACCTTGCAGCCCTCATCCAAAAATTCTGCAGAACATAAAACTTGCAGCACATGATGTAAAAGAAAAAAAATGCCACCGGGATGCCTTGGAGCTGTGACCGAGTCATGTGACCAATAAATCTGGAATCTTTAGGTTGAACTGTTTGCTGTGTGCAAAGGACAATAACACACACTGGATGTATAAAATGACTGCAGCATGACTCAAAAGCAGTAAACAGAGGAGCAAGTTGTTGGAAGATACATTCAGCATGGTGAAACATCTTTTTAGAGTTAATGTAGGATGTGAGCTAGAATGTGGTTTATTCCAGTATTGGTAGAAAAAAAATGATGACATTCGGCTTTGGTGTTTGCTTTTTTTTTATGATGAATGGTATTACATCTTTACTATTCTGCACAAAAGACAAGTTCTCTCTACGTCTATTCATTCAAAAATGTGTCAGAGGCAAAAAAACCAGTCAGGAACTGCTTGGGGTTTAAAGAGTTAAACCAAGAAACCTTTGAACTATTTTACATTGAATTTTACATGAAGAAACACACATGTAGTACTAGACAAGCTGACAAATGTTGCATGGCTTATACAATATACAGTAAGGCTGTCAAAGGCAGATGTATTACAAAAAAAAATCTCCCTGCTGCACTCCAGTGCCCATGAGAAATTGTACCACTGCATTCACTTGCGTAAATCCATCAACTCCAGCTTTGCAGTTTCAATCATATCAATAGGTCTTTTTTAGTAATAGCATTAACAATATCCAAGAGACGACAGTGTGACAGTGGGTTGGCACGCACGACACCGAGACCACGAAACTGAAGCCTTTTAAACGCAATTCAGCAGTCATCAGTTTCATTTACACCTGTGATTTTCCTACTTTTACATGACAAAATGTCTCCAGAGCGTAGCACCTATGATTATAATTAGTCGAACTGCTACGTCGAACCGTCAAATCCGATCCGACACCGAAAATTAGGAGTCTGTGCAGCCGTTCTCTGCAAAAACCTTCATCAGAAAAGAAGGAACGCCATCAAAGAGGAGCATGAGCTGTAGTGGCCCTGAAGAATCCCTTTCAACATCTATAGTGGATTAAATCTCACACAAAAAAAACCCCTGAATCCATACCAGCGTCAGGGTCCTACTGGCTCAACTGTGGCCGGAAAGAGGCTGAGTAAAAATAGAATTATGTTGAATACATATGACTCTCTCCGAGCTGTGTTTTTCCAGTGTTATTCATGGTAGAAAGAACATGGTTTCCCTCCGAGGCCGTGTCCGAACTAATGCAGAAAAATCCACATGTGGAAAGTTTCCAGTGTTGCAAAGTGCTGGCTGTGGAGGTACAGAAGGTCAAAAGAAACATCAGATTCATCCATATTAGTTCAGACGTGGCGCGATATATGAGCCTGTCAGCATGATAAACAGTCTGCAGCTGTGGTCAAGCGGTTCAAAAGTGACCT